TTGTTTAGAATGAACATTTTCGAAATCAGAAAGCAGATTTGTGTTCATCTTGTCAAGTCGAATCTTACTATGTACAACATGTCCTTGAAATTCCGTTTTCAATTTTTTCAAAATTTTCTGCGCGCGTATATTCACAAGGTCGCAACGCAGCGCACGTCAAACATAAAAGACTCTATTAAGCACTGTTGGATTGTGCTGCTTCCGCAGATTATCGAGCGCTAAGAAGCAACCGGAGAATCTTCTTGAAAAAAGATAGAAGAGCTGGTGAATTCTGGAAAATCGTGTTGTCTCAAATTTTGCCCACAATGACCCTAAAATGAGAAGCTCTACTGCTAAGCAGATGTGATTTTCGTAATCAGCAGGTCAGATAACCTCTATGGGCAAGTTTTCAAAGAGATTTGGGTGATTTGATTTTTTCTCGTTCTACGCCTTGAAGCTCGCCGATGGGTTTTGTTCAAAATGTCAGTGATCTTGGATTGTAAAGAAACTTTGCCCAAAGAGGTTTTCGAACACGCTGTTTACGAAAATAGTGGTCTTTGAAGAAGACAGGGTCTTTTTGTAGAGATATTGTGAGGTGACTGTAACTGAGTCATGCAAGTTCGTAAATTTGCCTGCACTTTTCGCGAATTTGTCAGAAGACTTGCTTACTTGCTTTTCCAAGTCAAAATCACTGGGAACTGTGCTATCAAACGGTGCGTGCTCAGGCTCCAGTCTATAAAGTTCGCCGAGTTACGAGCCTATGAAAACACGTCCTCATGAATTTCGCTCAAAATGTAAAAATCGCGTATTTCGTCGAAATTCCACCCTCAGTGGTTGTATGACATTCTGATTGCATATGCTCACTTCGCCTAAGGGATCCCATTGAGTTGAATATGGTGGTCGCGCGTTCTTCAGCTGCTCATTTGAATATCCAAGCACCTTCGTAGCTTGAGTTCAGATCTACCTAATTTCCAAATCCAGCACATTAAGACCATTAACCAATGTGAACAGATTTGATCAGAATGTCATACAACCACTGAGGGCGGAATTTCGACGAAATACGCGATTTTTACATTTTGAGCGAAATTCATGAGGACGTGTTTTCGTAGGCTCGTAAGTCGGCGAACTTTATAGACTGGAGCCTCATGCACCTTTTGATAGCACAGTTCCCAGTGATTTTGAATTGGAAAAGCAAGCAGGCAAGTTTTCTGACAGATAGGCGAGAAGTGCGGCCAAAGTTACGTACTTTCGTGATGAAGTTACAGTCACCTCACAATATCTCTACAAAAAGACCCTGTCTTCTTCGGAGACCACTATTTTCGTAAACAGCGTGTCCGAAAACCTCTCTGGGCGAAGTTTCTTTACAATCTAAGGTCATCGACATTTTGACAAAAACCCATCGGTGAGCTTCAGGGCGTAGAACGAGAAAAAATCAAATCACCCAAATTTCTTTAAAAACTTGCTCATAGAGGTTATCTGACCTGCTGATTACGAAAATCACATCTGCTTAGCAGTAGAGCTTCTCATTTTAGGGTAATTGTGGACAAAATTTGAGACAACACGATTTTCCAGAATTCACCAGCTCTTCTATCTTTTTTCAAGAAGATTCTCCGGTTGCTTTTTAGCGTTCGATAATCTGCGAAAGCGGCACAATCCAACAGTGCTTATTGGAGTCTTTTACGTTTGATGTGCGCTGCGTTTCGACCTTGTGAATATACGCGCGCAGAAAAGTTTGAAAAAATTGGAAACGGAGTTTCAAGAGGCATGCTGCTGCAGTAAGATTCGACTTGTCGAGACGAACACAATGCTGCTTTTGGACTTCGAAAATGTTCATCCTGAAGAAAGTTACGGCTAGTAGAACTTGAAACAGCTTGATTTTTCCGAAGTTTATCAGCTCTTCTATCTCTTCTAAAAGAGAGTCATCGGCTGCTGTTTAGCGCAGGATAATCTAGTGAAAGAGTACTATCGAACGGTGCCCACCGCAGTCTCCTATGTGTGATGCTCATAACATTACACCCATGCGAAGAGGCGTCCGCATGCAAATTCAAGATTATTGAAAACAAGATATTGGAGGCAACCTGTATATCAAAAGATTCGCCTTGACGAGCTGAATACAATGTTGTTTTCGTATTTTGATTATACTCATTTGGAAAGAAGTTGTGGCCCTGCGTAATTTGCGTGATTCACATGAATTTCGCGGAATTTCCGGAATTACGAGGAATTCCCGAAATTTTGCATGTTCTGTGAGTGATTTTGTTATAGAGCGATAAAAACTCGCACAGCGTTTTCTAAAGTACATTTCTTATTGTATGTCAAAAATAATCCAATTTTGTGACATCGACAGTGATAAATGATAAAATGATGATATCAATGACAACGACAGATAAGAGTGGCTCAAATTCATGCGGTCGACTCCCACGTTCATATTCCATATAGGTGCAGAATTTCAGCCCAGGCTGCGGCGTGAAGCGAGTTGAAGCAAAAATGCCATTCTAGGTAAGAATTGGCAGCAATGGCATGTGCCATGAGAAATCGATCGATCGCTGCAGCGAGGGATCTACCAATTGCACCGAGCAGTAGAAATAGAAAACCCTGTACATCACTTATAATGGAGAAAGAGCGATAGAAATTCACATAGCGCTTCCTACAGTACTTTTCTTACCATATGCAAAAAATGATCCAAAAATGTGATATTATCAGTGATAAATGATAAAATGCTCATTTCAGTGATAAGGGTAGATAAAAACTGCCCAATTTTTGGCGATAGTTTTCGATAATGAGAACTTTGCACCAAAACTTGCTATTCGCGACCAACGCTGTGATAAATGTTCACAAAAGCCTTAACATAGAAAACAGCAAGGTATCGTTGTAAGTCTACCCCCTCATCACGAATTATGGACATACTGTACATCAAACGATTCGTCTCATCAAGCTGAAGCCAAATCTTTACGCAGATTGCAAATAAAGTGGATTTAAAAGAAGTTATAGCTAAATCCCGCTTATCCCGCAAATCCCGCGAATCCCGCGAATCCCGTGAAGTCGCGAATCCCGCGAATCCCGCGAATCCCGCGAATCCCGCGAATCCCGACAATCCCGCGAATCCCGACGATCCCGCAGTTTTGGACAAATTCTACCGCTGCAACTGTAGCAAGCAACCGAAAGCCATCACTGCGAATACATCCATTCCCTCTACGATTCTGGAAAACAAAGCCTTCTGATGATACGATGATTACAAGAGCTCCAGCCCAACGGTTCTCCTCATGGTCAACAATTTTGAATCAACGGTCCTCTTTATGGTCACGAATACGATAAAAACAACCGCATAAACATCTCGAATAAACGTGTTTATCAATTGCTGTTTATGAAAGTAAAGCTTAGTGCGACCCGATTTTATTTGTCATAACGGACTGTGCAGAAGACCGATCTAGGTAGTAAATGCCAAGAATCAGTAATTCAAGTGATGAAATTGCCAAAATTTGTGTAAAATCGCAACTTTCATAGATTTGGTATGGAGCTGTCAGCCACTGCACCTTACAAGGAAATCGTTTTTAATCAAAGTGGCCTTTTCGAATGAGACTCATACCTTTTCAAAGAGCATTGCAGCCTGATTCAAAATCTGTTCTCATTACCTGCCAAGCGCCTTTAGACGCCGAGGTCGAGCTTTTCTTGGAATGAGAAATGGTCGCAGAATTTAGGTAAAATCAGTTGCTGCGATCTTTCCAGCGCTCAAATGAAGCAGTGTTGAGTATCGGCACATTAGGTAAAAAGTATTCATTGTTTGAGCTGCTCTGATACTCAACACTGACCATTCAAGCATATTTGGGAACTTTGTACCAGTTTCACGTTCAACTTTTAGACTCAAAAACGCTTATAACTCGGCGTCCAGAGGCGCTTGGCAGATAAAAGCAGATTCGGAATCACTGTACAATGCCCTTCAAAGCAGTGTGGGTTTTATAGGGGCCTGCAGGATCGCGAGAGTCGGACGTGCGTACGGCCATTGCGCCGCGGCTGCATATTGAAAGTTGACACTTCAACTCCTACAAATCTTGAGTTTTAAGGTGTGCGATGTTGTGACTTCATAGGTCTTCTAGAGTGTTTGCTTTATCAGGCTGCTTATTAGCTTTGCCCATTTATAAAAATCGCGGAGAACAGTGCCCATAAAAAGCAGGTGAAAAACCGGCTTTCAAATTCAGCCATAACCCTTCTACAACTCCATGAATCCGTATATAACTTCATCAATTAGAATCTCCTTTTCAAGAGCGGACTCTAGCTAAGCGGATCGAAGAATAGTGATGAATAGTCCCTCCCTCGTAGGAGGCAGGCACCAACTCCCCCCCCCCCTCACTTATCACATACCAACTGAAAGCCTTCAAAAGGAAAATTTTTAGTGTAAGTCGCATCCGGATTCATAAAGTTCTTGAGAAATTATGAGCTGTTAAAGATCAAAAATGGAATTTTCACCTACTTCAAGGGGATGGTTCTCTGCGGTATAAAGTCACATCGTCATACACTTTCACACTCAGGCATAGAAGTTGAGATGTCGCCGTCAGTTCCTCATGATAAATTAATAAAATCTGAGTCAAAGTCGCACTGAGTTTCATCTTATAAATAAAATTGATATGCACTTTATTTAAAACATTTATGCGGTTGTGGCCGCTGTTGAGTTAAAGTTGTTGCTTAAGGAGCACCGTAGGTTAGAGCTCTTAGAACCATCAAAAGCCATTAAGAACCTTCTTCCCAGAATCGTAGGGAGTGGTGAGGTGGATGTGTCCAGAGCCATGATAGCCGTCGGGTGCTCGTGGTAGTTGTCGGCGAGTTTTTAAATGTAAAGTGAGTGAAAAATGCTTTGATTAGTGATTAGTCGCAGCTATCTTTCTCAATTTCCTTTTTATCAGTCAGGTGAATAGTTTCATCAGGCTCAGACGTGAAAGTGGCCATCCTGTATTAGCTCGAACTAAGGTAGGGTAGAAATCGGCTTCCACTATCGCATATCTGATAGCAGGAAACACCTTGCGAACATGCTATAATCTAAAGCAAGCATTAACCTTTCCCATATTTTTAGTCTCCTCTCCTTGTGAGATTAGCACAGCAGAGTAGTGGTCGTTGATAGCAGTCTCAGCAGCTTGAATCATTTGGTCGGTTGCTCCGAAAGTCAAGGTAACTTCTATGACACTTTTTGGATAACGACGAATGCTGTAAAAGCGGAAGATGAACAGTCGAGTCAACTAAGACAACAAAAAAGATTTTCTTCATATAATGCTTGTCTGAAAGGTTTTGAGCCACTTGCAGCTCTCACATTAGGCAAACAAATTTACATAATCGAATGGTGTCGAAAATGGGCTGTCTCTTTAGCTAGTCTCCTAGCTTCTACCAGTGGCGGTCCCAGAATTTCGGACCGGGGAGGGGGGGGGGGGGGGAAGCGCGACAAAAAATTTTATTCAGATGAAGGTGCGCATCGATAGCCACGTACTCTGAAAAAATTTTGGGGTGATTCTCAAAATTTTTGCGGGTCCCCAACCCTTAAATCTGGAAAAGGGGCGTGGCGTCAATCAAGCCCCCGAAAAAAAATTTTTATAGGGCTAATTTGAATTTTAAAAAATTTTAAAAATTATTTCAATTATTTACAAGAATAAACCAGTCACACATTTTTATAACCCATGTGAGTAAATCTCAAAAATTTCGCGACCCATTCTCGAGGAGGGGGGGGGGGCTTCTACATATGAAGTAAAAGCAAAAATCTTTTTTCCTGATGTTGACAGATTTGGAGATCAAATCGAAGTAGGTTTCAAAAGGTTTTCTCCCAAGCATGAATGATAACGCAAAATATTCTAGATGACGCCCATTAGGTGTATCGAAGTCGTAAAAATTCATGCAGAATGAGTCCTGGTACAGGCCCCAGAACTGCTGGCAAATGTCAAGCCAAACCCACCTAATACCCTCCTGAGGAGGCAAAACTTCCATTTCACATATTTTCATAATTTTTACATAAATCTGTTTTGCACCTAAAATTTACTGTACAGTCACATTTTTCGAAACACCTCCTCTTCCTCTTGTTAGGAGCTGAAAATGCGACGACGCCGGTCCCCCGAAGAAGAAAGCGCGCTTTAATCTAACAATCCACGCAGCTAGTAAGAAATCGTAAAATGGCAAGTGGCAAAGCGACCATTTGCTGCCGTCGTGCTGGGCGCTGTGTTAGTAAAGCTATTTTTGGAAGTTAATTGCAAGAGTTATAAGATACCAGTGGCGGTCCCAGGATTTCCGTCCAAGGGGAAGGGGGTTGGCAGGGGCAAAGAGTTCTTCCAAATGAAGGCGCGTGGCGTTAGCCACGCACTCTGAAAAAATTTTTGGGGTGCTTCTCAAAATTTTTGCGGGCCCATAACACCTAGAATCTAGAAGAAGGAAGCGTGGAGGCAGCCACGACCCCAAAGAAATTTTTACGAGGCTAATTTGGATTTTTAGAAACTTATAAAAATTATTTTAGTCAGTTACAAGAATAAGTAAGTCACTTGCACATTTTTATAACCCATGTAAACAACAAATCTTAGAAATTTGACCGATCCATTCTCGGGAGGAGGAGGCCCCACCCCTTCGGTCCGCCACTGCTACATACAGTGACAATTACAGCATCTTTGATAATAAGGCAGGCAACGGAATGCTTTTATAAAGTTATAATTGAAAATTATAATCTTTTTGCTTTTAGATTCTAACATCCTGAAGCGTAAATAAGTAAAAAAAAGATGAGCTTACGTTCGCGTTCCCTCAACGCTCGTAACAGGCCTATATTTTCGAACATAACTCTCCAACGTTGGCAGTGCATTGAGAATTGCACAGGTATGGAATACAAGCCACAATTGTATCATCCTAAAGCACATGAATTCTTTGTTAGGCTGTGTCTAGAGCTGTCTGTGGCAGCGTGCTAGAGCTGTGCCAACGCGCACATGGACGCAACCCATTGATCAGTCGACGACGCTGGCACGGCGAAAGCACAAGCAAATCTAAACCCAGTGGGAGGGCCTCCAGATATCATGACGATAGGGCAGAAGGACCCTGTGTGGATCAGAGGGCGAAGGCAGTACACAAGCTCAGAAGCGACCCTTAGACAATTGGCTCAAGCCGGCTATATCGTTTGACACCGTGTCCAAATAAATGTGCCTACTGTTTGATTGCTAATAACTCTCCTGTCAATAAGTCTTTAGAAAAGCTTTAGGTACCAACTTTTAGAGCTGGCTTCAACTTAGACTTGCAGCAAAAAGCAAATCACCTCTTTTCATTACTGTAAGATTGAACTTTGAAGAGAGTTTTGCGTCACTGAAAGTCATATTTTACTTCTAAAAAAACTGGAGAAGCTGAAATCTTTTTAATCGGAATCGGCGATTCAAATGTGAAACTTGCACTTCACCTTAACGCTTTTTTAGTATTTTATGCCTTGTATAATGTAACGACAAATTTCTGATATTCGTCGAAAATTTGATTAGGCCATTCAAAAAGCTCTGCGAACACGCAAAAAGTAATTTAGCGAAATCAGCATGCATGAAAACCTGAATGCTACACAAAATTTCAGGATTTTTTTGAAAATTTTTTTCGAACGGCCTATCTCACAATGGTGCCATAGGGTGCGAGTTCCTACCGTAATATTACAGTAATGAAGAGAGATTGGTAATTCGCTCCATACTGTGAATCGAAGTTCAAGTCAACCCTACAAAATATCAGGGTGAACGGTAAAATATGGGACACTTGCGAAATAACTGGAGGTTTCTCAAGAAAGAGAAGTGATTAGACCTTCCAATTTTGATAGATGTTAGAATATGTTATTCTCTTTCAGAAAATAACTATATAAAGTCATTTACATAACTAATGATTTTTATACTTCACAAGTCTTCCTTTTTTTAAACCTTGGCATGTTGATAGTATATCGTTTAACTTTTTCTATGCCACAACAGGTTTTTACCGGAACTCTTTATTGAGCCTTACGTTTCGGCGAAAAAACGCCGTGCTCAGAGGCCTGAAAGCGATACAATCACTTCCAACAAACTTATGCGATCAAACGCTCTAACCAACTCGTACGCTTGATTCGTTTAAAGTGATTGGAGTCTAGCCTCCACGCCGAATTAACTTACCGAGAGTTCCACAGAAGAGCACGACAAAAGCTTTTTTGGTCGCCTACAGGATATGGTGACAATGAACAGTCCAACTGAGTAGGATATGTTTATGTAGCTGTAGGTTATCTAGAAACCGCAAGATGATAGGAACGGCTTAAGGTCATTTGTGATCGACATCTGTTCATTCTTGTTATTCATTTTCGGATTTCGAGCAAGAATGTAATGAATGAACAATGAATGAATGAACAATCGCAGTACATTTGCTTGACCAGAGAAGAACCAAACGATGACTGGCTACCCTTTCTCAACACGATGTTGGCTGAAAGCGCTGTACATAAATGGTATCGGAAAGAGAGCGGCAAGGACATCATTCTGCATGCGACCTCTGCTCATCCAACTGCCGTGAAACGTGCGGTTATCCGCAACATGTTCAGAACAGCAAGCAGCGTATGCAGCGGAGAAAGTGAAAGACTTCAGAACAGCAAGCAGCGTATGCAGCGGAGAAAGTGAAAGACTTGAGTTCTGGAAATGGCACGAGTCATCGTTTCCAACAACGGATACCCACTGCAGCCTAAAACCTCCAGGCAAGCATGAACTAAGAAGTTGAACCTTGATCTACAGAATGGTACCTCAAGCTCGACAAAGACATAGGAGCAAGAGAGTTATTAAACGATCAAGCAGTGTGCACATTTTTTCGGACACTCTGTGTATCACGTCATTTGTCAACTGCTGTAGGCCAAGCCTCATCAAAAGAGATAGATAATGATGAGTTGCTACCCAAATGATATCAAGTCAACATACAAGAGGAAAAACTCTACAGAGATCGCACTTGTATGGAATTCTTCTCGATTGATCATGACGTGTTCCGCACTCTTCAGATTTTCATAGGAAAATCAAGAATCAACCAATGAAACTTGTGGAGGGAATTTATGCTTTTGACCAAAGTTTCAGTGGTTGAGGGCAAAGAATATCACCGGTGTGAGTATTATATTTACAATTTAAGTGTCATATACTGAGAAAAAAAATGCCACAGCTCAGTTCCTTTGAAGAAGAAATACAGCTAACTAGTTGATCTAGTTGGCTCTACTATACAGCCAGAAACAGCAGCGCGAAATTGTAGCACGAATGCAAATCCGGCTTAAATCGTAAAAACGGTTCGCTCAAGTAATCATCTTAGCGAACAATGCGTCATTTACGATGAAGGACGTAAAGATTGATACAAGGAGGTTCTCCCAGTGTGGATAAAAAAGAAAACAGCACCTGATGAGTCTGCATTGTCATAAGCGCCTCTTTAGATCTGATATCGCTTCCTAAAAAAACCACTAGTTCAACTGATACTTTAACCTTAAATCTTAACGTTATTTCCAACTGAATCACTTCTAAGCAAGATACATTTCTACACCCTCCTATTTGTTTATATATTTTCATTACAATCTGATTTTCCGTAACAAAAAAGCCTCCAGAAGACTTCTTGGATAATCTGAAACGATTGATATACTGTATAGCGATAAGTCAGTCGATTAACACATTCACGACAAGGCCAATTTTTCGAATACTGCCTTTCGGACCAGAGCCTTTTTTGCTCTGTCAAACTTACAACCCACTCGTTGGTCGTATTGTCCAAAATGGTAGTCTTTTTGGAAAAAGTTGGAAACATGTCTCCAAAAATTTCACCAGAAGGATTATCGAAAGCACTCCTTGTCAAAATATGATTTATTTTAGTTTTGGTAAGGTTACGGTAGTAATTCTGTATGACCCCACTTTATGGATTTTAATGAAAGGTGTGTTTTGGGATTAATTCACGTGCTGATCATGATTATAGTGTCCAATCTGTTCAATACTTTCCCACAGAGGGGCAATGATAGCAGTACGATAGAATTTTAAACTAAGGTAAGAGTGCGGTAAGAGCACTTAAGACTATCATTTGTAATCAGCATGCTATAAAACATATATATGTAAGATTGAAGCTTCTTGGGATGAACAACGAAAAGACCAATAAAATCATTTAAATCGATAATTTTTGGTGGGCTGGAATCAGTCTCTTGTCCCTTTCGTATCGCCTGTGAATGTAAGCTTGGATGTAGAGAAAAGCATCATTCTAAGAAAAATTTGAGCGAAAGTCTGTGCCTTATCTTTATTCACGGTATACTACCGTAGCATTACACTACAGTATCCCGCGCTCGGACCACTCTGGCTGGAACTTCGCCTAGGTGTCCCCAATCATGTGCCAGAACTCCGTAGAATTCTATCGTAAAGTGGCAAAGCTAGAGCTCCAGGAATCTTACAACCCACCTCTACGTCCTATTGTCCGAAAAGCAGAACATGTACGATCCACGGTGGGTTGTATTTGGTGAATGTGTTAAAGCCTCTGGTGGTCGAAATCCGTTTGAAAGCTGCCGGTCGCGGCAGAGCGCAGCCTCAAACCCCCATCAATTTCCGCATGTTTGACCTGCTAATTTCTGTGCCATGAGTAGGCAAGATTATTATATCATTGTTGTCGGGAATAATTACATATTGTCTCTCGCATCCAAACGTAAGCTTGGAGAAAAGATTCGTTGGGAAGCTTTTGCAGTGCGTGCTATACCGGTAAGTAATCGGGCAGAACATTGCTTTAGTAAACCATATGACACATTTTTAGTCTACACTATGTCCAAACTCACTCAAAAAGAAAAAAACGAGCATAGCGTAGGAAACAACGCTCAACATTAATAAAATAATCAGTTTTGAATAGCGTTGTTGTCTAAACATAAAAATGGCAAGCAACGGCAAAAACGAAAAGAAACGTATGCGAAATTGAAGCAGAGGCCTTGAGGTGCCGGCTCTGTCGCGACCTGCCTGCTGCAGTTCAAATTTGGATTCATTCGCGCAAGACGTGTCTAGTGAAGGGCCCGCCATGAGGTGGGCAAATGTCAAGCTGGAAATCTTTTGAACGGAAAGCAAAGGGGATATCGTAAAAGTTCTCATGTATATACACTCTCTTGACAAGTTGCTACGCTTCCGACATGCGAAAAACCGGTCTTGATCGCGCGTCATCTTGAAAAATCCAAATTTTTTTGTATTGACTTGTAATTATGTTTCGATTACAACGCACACGTAACGATATGACTAAGAATTTGAAGTATAAACGGACATGAACTAGAATAGGCATAGTGCAGAGTATTGTGGAGAAATTATGTGACCGCAGGTTGTGGCAAGCTTTGTCTGAAATTCTTCCACTAAACGATAAAATGGCTCGTTTGCAACGTACAGATGACCATATGGTACGAAATTTGGTAGACGTGCAGTTGACCTACGGAACCAAGTATGAAAACTTATAAAAAACTTATGTGAATAGAGAGCGTGCTAAACTTTTTCCATTAAACGGGCAATTGCCCACCTATTGCCCACCCAAGATAGGCAAAACTTCCATTTCACATAAGTTTTCCAAAATTTCTACAAAAATCTGTTCTACACCTGAAGTTTAATATAAAGTAAAACTTTTGATTTCACAACCCCTCCTCCCCCACAATGGTCGGCCGCTTCATCGTGGCGTGGGGGTAACACTGGGTGTCGAATTGCGATGCACAGCTGAGTGTGTACTCTGACAAGGCCTCCCAAGGCCTGTGAAGGAATTTGACGTTTCCGGTCTCGGGCGATGCCCTGCTCAGGGGAAAAATTTCATTACTCCTCTAGATAGGAGAATAGAAAGAAATCGTGTACATCGTATCCCGCTTACGGCGCCGGCAAGAACGATGTCAGGGTGATCGGACATCGACACGTCTGCGCGGACAATGGAAAATGCCTCTTGCTCTGTACTACAACGCTAAGACAGTCTTCAGAAACGC